CTTCCCAACTCTTCCAGGTGGACTGTGGCACAGCAGCATCATCGACAGGAACCTCATCGACTACTTTGTGCCCTTCCTGCCCCTGGAGCACAGGCACGTGAAGATGTGTGTCAGGGCTGAGATGGCCGCCCGCGGCTACGCTGTGGACGAGGACATTGTGCAGGCGGTGGCCGATGAGATGACGTACTTCCCCAAGGAGCAGAAAATCTACTCTGATAAAGGCTGCAAGACTGTACAGGCCAAGCTGGATATTCATGAAGACCTTGTGATGGGAGATGCGAGAGTCAGGGGTTGATTTCCCCTTCCCTTCAAGTTTCCAAAGCGCTTTCAGAGCTTTTGGAAATTTGTGTTATTTGCACATACGCTTTTTTACTGTTGCAGGGAGTATGGTGAAAATACCAGAGTGAGCTCTGTGGGCTTTGTAGCTTTTTTTGTGTGTTTCTGGGTTTGTTTTTGGTTTTTAACTTAACGTATAGAATCATAGCATCGTTTGGGTTGAAAGGGTCCTTAAAGATTATCTAGTGCCACCCTTTGCCATGGGCAGGGACACTATCCATTAGATCAGGTCACTCAGAGCCCCATCCAACCTGGCCTTGAACCACTGTTCATCCCTGAACAATCCATATGTTGTCCTTTTAGTTTTCTTTTAATCTGTAGAGAGTTTGAGTGTGACGCTCACACACTGCACTGGATAGAGCCTCTCCTGCTTTATTCTTCCAAGTGCTGGGACTATGAAGTATTTAAATCCTCTTTCCACAAAAGCTAGACTAGAGCAAAGAAGAACAGAGGAATTCTTCCGGGCAGTCATTTTCCCTTGCATGTGCATGGTCCTGTTCATGTTCATATTGAATTGGAGGGATGTGTGGTGTGTCCAGGGCTATGATCACGTTTGCAAGGGCGAACTCCTTGATGCACTGCAGTAAGAAGATGATATACTGGAAGTCTTCCTGTCCTTCCAGTAGATGGATGCTGTTGTGGCTTCTACAAACAAGCATTTCAGGGACAGAAGGGCACAAGTACAGTTAATGGCTGAGCTGTGGCACTATCCCAGATATCCTGCCACAGAAATAATGAGTCATAATGAGCTCCAGCAAATCTGTTATTAAATAATAGAGGATGTGGGGAGGGGAAGTAACTGCCCCATGTTTCTTTGGGGAGAAAGAAATTATTAGAGAAGCTTTATATTCCTCAAGGGATTTAAGTGAATTTGTGACTCCAGGTCTTCCTAAGGAGAGGGACCCATCTGAGGTATTTGTTACAACATACTAGGCCAGTCTCCTGTTCTTAATCAAAAAAAGGTCTCATGAAGATTTGACTACAGCTTGATTACAGCTTTCCAGGTAAATCTGCACATTGGCTCCTGGGCTGAATCTGTAACATCTTTAGTAGTCCCTCTGAGCTGCACCCACTGGTTGAGGTGTAGGTAATGCTACTCTCACCTTACTTGGAAGACACTTTGATGGAAGAAGTTATTTTTCATAGCATATTTTTTATGCTGAAGTATAAGCAACAGTCCCCTACCTCACTAGTTAAGTATGTTTTATAGTAGCTTTTGACATTAGAGAATGCCTATGTGAAAGGGTGAGTGATGAGTTAAGAAGCTGGGAAAGATCGATTTAACCTTCACCCACTGGGAAGGCTGGTTTTAAAACCCTGTTGCAACCTTTAACTCCTTCATCACCCATCATTTGTGGATCAAAGAATGTAGTGCAAGACAGAAGTGCCTTTCACTTGGTTGATTGTACTGTGGCTTTTGAACTGGTACGAGGGATTGGGCTATTTTTGTGCTGCAGCATCTACTCCCTCACTTGGACTTAAACTTCCTTTAAGAGGTGTTGCGAAATTACAGGTCTCATTGCAATTATGTTAATTCAAATCACAGCCGAGGGCTTAGCATTTATGTTAAGCCCTAAATGAAAAGTGTCAGTTGCCTTTTCCAAGCCCACGCGGAGTTTGTGAAATGCTGGCAAACTGTTCCCACTGATGCAGTCTCCAGAGCCAAATTCTAGCGGGCTGTTAACCTTGGGACATTGGACTGTCACTTTCCAGTGTGATGTTCTGCCTGTTAACTGACTCATAGTTGTGTATGCTGCGTCCAGTTTCACTTACTCCATAAAATACTTGTGCCATGTCAAAACACTAACTCCTGTACCGCAGTTGGAATAAAACTTAAGTGACTTTTCTCTCTTGATTTGATCATTTTCAGCTACAGGAAAGTACTGGTCTGTGCAGTTTGCAACCAGCTGCACTGCACTTATCTGTTAGGCTTCCTTTATTCTTACAAAGGTGTTTATGACAGTGGATAAGCAGATTAAAGAGCCTGTTGGTATTCAAACATGTTGCCTCATCCAACAGCACAGTAAGGAATTCAGCTGTTAAATACACCTCAGTAGAAACAAACACCTATGAAGAAGTCTAAAAGTCTCTGCCTGCTGTGCTTCATGGTTATTAACAGATCTCTCACTGCAGGACAAACACACCTCAGGTAGCTTGTTTAACTATTCCTCGCCTCTGGCTGTGCCCACCAAGCTGTCATTCAGCGTGGCTTTTCCCCTCTCCTTGAGCTGGCAAAGGCGTGATGGGACTACAAGCTTCCATCCTGCCTTCCTGGGCCAGAGCATCTGCAGCCTCCGGAGCACGGAAAAGAAGCCGGTGTGTAAGTGATGCCTCAATTCAAGTGAGGTCAAACTGGGGGCAGACACTCACACCTCACAGGAGTCAGCGGTTCGTGCTGCTGTGACCCACGTGTTGTGCTCCAGGAATGCAGAGGGAAGTGTTCCATGGGAAGCAGAAGCTGTGCTGTTCACCAGGACTTTGCCCTGTCCTGCACACGCGACAGCTCCGCTGTCTGTGCCCGCACAGCAGGCTCCAGGGCCAGGCTGCCTGTCTGCAGGAGAGCAGAACTTGCTGTATAACTGCATTCTAACAGGGCCTCTGATTTCATGAGCACAGCATGAGATCGTGCAAGGTTCCCTGCAGAAGGCTGAACTAAAGCAGCAGCTGTTTGTGCTGGACTCGGGTAAGGACAGAACTCAGTGACTGCTGAGCATCTTTGACCTGGCCAGCAGATACATGGGCATCACACCTTTCCCCCGCTGGATGTTTTTCTTTAAGTTGCCTGATCCAGTTTCAAGTGGCCTATTAAAGAGAATAATGGCCAGAGTTACCCAGAGAAAAACACAGTGAGGACCTTAGCTCTAAACCATACAGTCCACAGGGGAGGAATAATGACAGGATCGGAAGGATCCAATATGGGAGTGACTTCAGGCATTCCTATTTCTTTTACCCAGATGGAGATGCTCCTGGCCAGGTCTGCAGAACAGAACAGAGATTAACAGAGGCAGTTGCCACCCTTTGAACATCATTCCTAACACCTGCAGAGGAAGCCTCCATCTACCCTGAGTCATTGAGGGCTGAGAGATAATGAAATACTGGCTACCTAATCTATGTCAAATGCCCATATTGATGCTGCAAAGGCACACAAAGAATAAGAGTACTTAATGCTGGAAGAGCCACAATACTGCTTGGTTGTACTGTTCCTTTTGAGGACAGGGTACCAGACAAGTTTATCATTATTAAATCTGCTTTTTTCCATTAGCCAACTATTTGCTGTCATAAGGAGGTCACAGAAACAGATAAATGCCTGAGTTCAAAGCACTCATTTGCTGACAAATACTCGGACTGATAATTTAAATATCCTACCCCTTCAGAGAACTGGAACAGCAGGAGTCTTACTGGCCCTTTTATTTAACCCCTTGCAGAGAAAAACCCAAGTGGCTTCAGTTACAACCTGCAGGTGTTCAGGCAGTGGCACCAGAGTGAGAAGAGATCAGCAGGGTTTTAACTAGTCTCCAAGTTCATCCTTAGGATACTGTTGAGCACACACACATCTACAAAGTTTGCCTCGAAAAAAAACACGTGAGTGTTAGTAGCACTAGTGGTCCAGAAGTGCAGTTTCCACTCCAAGCTTCATTTGTTTCTCTTTCACCAGCTAGCAGAGTCACATCTCCTATCTATGCCCTTTGAACTCAAAAAGGCAGATAGCTGTGCTCAAGCACAGCCTGAGCAGCCAGGAATGCAGTGTGCTGTTCCTCAACATGGAGTAAGGTTGTGCAAAATTAACATCAGGTCACTGAATGCAAGGAACACCAGAAGGTAGCTAAGAAATAAATTTCTGATGAGAAAAGTTTATTTTGAACAGCAACTGGAGTGAAAAAAGCCTCTGCAGTGCTCACATTCAGAAACAAGTCTGACACCCTTCGCAGTAACTGATTGACACATTTTGTTGTTTTTTTTTTTTTTTCAAATGCCTTCAGAGCTGTCTCCATCCCTGCCTCAAAGGCACACAGTATTGTGATAAATAAAAAGGGAAAACCCTGCATGCTGGCCCCCTGAATTTGACACGTAGGTGAAGAAGAGAAACCTCTTTTCCATTTCCATGGTGTAAAATTTAATCTGTACACGTTTCCCATTACATTACACCCTTTCCATGAAGCTGATTCACCAGTCCAGGAGCACACTGTTCTCCCTCTCCTGAGAGCACCCCTGGGAGAGAGCATGCTATGGGCAACTTTATACATAAAAACTAACCAAAAATAGCAACTAATTACACTGATGTGGCAGTCAAAGATTTTAACTCACTTCCTTGTAACGTTAAGTCTGCTCTCCGAACAGTATTCATAACAAAGAGTTTCATATCCTTGGTTTGACACACAGGAGGCCAAATTATACCACTGTTTTGAGAAAGACAATGGCACTACATGATGTTGGATAGAAGAGCCTAGATTTGTTAATTGCAGAATCCCTCCCTCCCCCTTATCCTTACTAGACCCAAACCGTTGAAGGAGAAAAGACACATATTCTATTTTAATGCACATTCCCACACAGGACCAATGAAAGCTTTCACAGACAAAGGAACTTTGATTAAAATTCTCAACACTGTCTAGAGATCATCCACATCAGAGCAAAATCCAATTAAAATTAGGTCACAGTCTCAGTCCTTCTGTACCTGTCAACAGTCTGCCAAATGGTTCCGATGATCGACACATGATCCGAGGAGTCTTCAGCCCTGTCAGACACAGACCCAGGAATTCCCAATGCAGTTCCTTCTTACCTTGACAGCACAAGGCTGGAGTACTCAGGAGTCGTGACTGGTGACAGACTAAAAATGCAGAGGCACTGCTGCTTATTCACGTACCAGCTTAAAAATAGTGTTCCTTCTTTTAAAAAGTACTTAAAAATGAAATGTCTTGGGTCCTTCACTTTGTGATTAAGTTAAATTTGCTTCTTTGCAGGTTGTAGCAATAAAGCATTAGAAGTCATAGTAATAATCCAGCTTTGCATCCACAGTTTTACATCCTTTATCAGAATAAATTCTCTCCTCCCTGGGAAAGTAGGTCATCTCATCGGCTATTCGGGTTAAAATGTCTTCATCCACGGTGTAGCCACGCGATTCAATCTCAACCCTGACACACATTTTCACATGTTTGTATTCCAGAGGCAGGAAAGGGATAAAGTAGTCAATGAGATTTTTATCAATCAAAGTGCTGTGCCAAAATCCACCTGCAAAGGGAAAGAGAGACTTGTTACTCCTCCTCTAGTTAAACACTACATGGAAGAGGCACATCACGGCCCTCTGCTGCACACCATCACTTCATCTCACTGCAGGCCCCAAAACTGCATCGTGGCTCCTCACAAGCCAAAAACTGGAAGCCACATTGAGTAGAAACCATGCCTGTAAAAATGCACCTAAGTACAGACCATCCCTTTCATGTAACCTTCACCCTCTCAAAAGCAATCCCAGCTTTACTCACTATTTTTGTTGTTGAAGACAGACACAGACAGTGCATTCTGGATGTCTGTGAGCTGGATGTCTTCCCTCGTCCTCCCGTTTCTCCAGAAATCTAATGCCACCTCTGTTATCTTTTCGGCTCCTGCGTTGCTAAACGAAGAGAAAACAAAGATTGTGGCTGGGGGTAGTTTTAAAAGGCAGTGAGTGCACAGAGCTGAAAACCTGAGAAGGCACTTCTTACCTGAGGAAGATGAAGATGGCCTGTCTATAAGACACCCCATCCAGCAGCTCATAGTAGTCCAGGAAGGGCTTGATTGAGTCAATGAGTCCCGCGTGCATTTTATCCATTTCATCAAAGATGAAGAGGGATCTGGGACAGATGCTCACATTTCCCCGGATCCACGACTGCAGCTGGTCCTGAGTGCCATAAAAATGAAAGATGCTGAAAGAGTTTGTGTTGAAAAGACAGAAAACAGCACTTATGATTACTGAATTTTGCCCATCACTTTTTCATATTCACTGTTTATTCAGTCCCTGAACTGCAGCTGTTAAGTAGCAGTCACTACTGGTGATAAGTAGCAATAGTTTCTCCTACTGCCTTGGGCAGCAAGTTTCCCACGTGTATCCACCTCAAAACAAATGAAGAAAAGCTTCCATTTTATTTTAAAACAGCTCAGCTACAAGAAGGGGGGAAATAAGCTGTAAAAGAGGAAATAACTATTTCCTCCATTTAGAAATCAGGTTTGTAGCTCATCCTGTTCCCATTTGCAACATATACAAAATGAACATAAACATGCAGTACTACAAGACAGTGGTACTCATTCCAACTCTGCCGTTAACAAAATTAGAACAAAAAAAGCCAGAAAATATGCATGTGAGCTACTCCTCCACAATATTCCCCCACCCACAGCACTGCACTGACCCCACAAGCTGACACAACAACTCCAAGTACATTTATCTCTGACCACAGAGTATTTTGTGATTTCGCTTTACAGCTGGGAAATGCGTCCACAGAAAACTAAACAACCAGCTCAGTGTGCAGCAGAACTGACAGAAAAGTACACCAATGCCTCAGAGATCAAACTTCAGCTTGCCATGGTGCCTGATGCACCTGGAGGTCACCGGGATGTTCCCCAGAGTCATGAACTATTGGGGTTTTTTTTTGCACTGCCCACCAACATATCACCTAACCATGAATCATGTTTATCCTTAACTCTCCCTAAGCAAACTGCAGAACTGTAGAAAATTAAACTGCATCATTCTTCCTTAAAGAGAGAGGCTCAAAATACATGCAGAAACCTTTACATTAATGGAAAAAACAGTCCTGATGGATGTTAGGATTCATGTAGTTCTGTGCTGAAGATTCCAAAACAGGCACAGGATGCATGCTAC